GAGGCATTGACTGGCAAGGGAAGTTACTCTAATCATGGGTCTGGAAACGTGAACAGCACCGTTGGTTATTAGAAGGAATAGACACCAGTAGGAGCCACAGTGATGTAGCGTCCAGACACTCGCTTGGGGATCTGAAGGTCGTGGAGTGAAGTTTTTCCCAGGTCGACCCAGTCTTAAATAGGTACCAGATACAGTCCTGGGATGTCAAGACGGCTGGCGGGATTTTGACAACATCACCCACAGAGAGCCTATAAAGGGCTCCACCTATATGACCAGTATACATGAGGGCGTGGCAATGGATCCTTTAGACACACAGTGAGTGATTACACAAGCAATAACTCTCTTTAACCATACAAACGATTACTGCCAGTCATCATAGTTTATTTAGTACAGTAGCCCGGTGCGGTAGCTCAATTGGTTAAACCAGCCTGCGCGGCGACCGGGTGACAAACTCCTTGTGGTCTGAGTTCACGCTCGGTAGTTGGCAGAAAAGCCACATTTTCCCCAGATTTACGGTATCTATCATGGAATCAAGGCTAAAAGGTTGCGATATACATAGTATCGATTCAAAGGGTTAGGAACTCATGGTTCCTGGATCAATTAAAAAAAAAAAAAAAAATCGCGGACAGTAGTAATCACACAGACATCAATGATCAAACTAGCACTGTCAGTGGTCATTGAAAATCATATGTCGTCCCCTTATGGCATGCAATTTTTCGTTATTTTGAAACTGACCCTGGCTGTTGCCGAGAGCCCTAATATAACCTAACGGTTCAGTCAGTTTCCAATGGTGATTCTCATCCGCATGGTGGCATTTTGTGTCACCTAGTGTTTATCATTCAAGGTGATGTCCTGGTGGGGTCGTACATCTCTAGCCCGGCTCGCTAGCGTAGTTGGTTAAACCTGACTTCGCGGCGACCGGGTGACAAACTCCTTGTGGTCTGAGTTCACGCTCGGTAGTTGGCAGAAAAGCCACATTTTCCCCAGATTTACGGTATCTATCATGGAATCAAGGCTAAAAGGTTGCGATATACATAGTATCGATTCAAAGGGTTAGGAACTCATGGTTCCTGGATCAATTAAAAAAAAAAAAAAAAAATCGCGGACAGTAGTAATCACACAGACATCAATGATCAAACTAGCACTGTCAGTGGTCATTGAAAATCATATGTCGTCCCCTTATGGCATACAATTTTTCGTTATTTTGAAACTGACCCTGGCTGTTGCCGAGCGCCCTAATATAACCTAACGGTTCAGTCAGTTTCCAATGGTGATTCTCATCCGCATGGTGGCATTTTGTGTCACCTAGTGTTTATCATTCAAGGTGATGTCCTGGTGGGGTCGTACATCTCTAGCCCGGCTCGCTAGCGTAGTTGGTTAAACCTGACTTCGCGGCGACCGGGTGGCGAACTCCTTGTGGTCTGGGTTCAAGCCCGAGTTTAGGCAGAAAAGCCACATTTCTCCCAGATTTACGGTATCTATCATGGAATCAAGGCGGAAGGGTTGCGATATCCATAGTACCGAGCCAAAGGGTTAACAACTTATTGTTTCAGTATATCCCCCCCCCTACCCCCCCCCCCCCCCCCAAAAAAAAAAAATCAGCTCTATACTGTTACATTAGATCTAGCTCATACTTTAGGCATAGTTTGCTAAATTATATGAAACCACAGAATGTCAACACGGAAAAGTAAATTAATCTTGATGATCAGGTATAGTTTGCTGAATTATATGTAACTACCTAATGTCTACACGGGAAAGTAAAATATATCTTGATGATCAGGCATAGTTTGCTAAATTATATGTAACCACAGAGGGTCTACACGGGAAAGTAAAATACATCTTGATGATCAGGCATAGTTTGGTAACATCTTTTTAGCTCTGTTGACCCGACTTCTGTCTTTGGTGAATGTTGGTCTGGAGAGAATGGTCATGAACTGGGAAGTTTCAAAAAAACGAGACAGAGGCTGACCTAGGCGAATGTGAATACAGGACATCAAAGATGCGTCGACTTTGAAAGCACATAGGGCTGGGGAATTAGCTATAGAAAAACATACTTACAGGCGTGCTGTCATGAGAGCGACGTTCTGTAAAGGTCCTGCTGCATGATGACGGCTCCGGCGGAACGTACTGCTTGTCCACGCCTGGACTTCTGTCTTTACGCGGAGATTAGGTTTGGCGTGCACATCCGATTTATAGACCTCGCGTTTTTGAATGCAGACTGTTGGCTCCTTGCCTCCCAGACAAATGCACTCCAACTTTGAAAAAAACTTACCATATTAGTCGACTCCTACAAAAAAAGTTTGCTGAATTAAGTCTTGCGACTGGAGACAGCTGTCATCACGCATTCTGGACAGCTCCATTAGTGCACCGTTTTTCTCTTCAGAAGCCCATCAAAAAGCGTAACATCACTGATCGCACCTGTTCTGTGTTGATTAATCAGACGCCTTGTGCCTATTGTGAAATGTTCGTATCTGGCTTCTCCAGGCTGCACATCCATGTCTACCAATCTGGATAAAGTTACCGAGTTCAGTTTGTTGTCGTGATGTTCTCCACAATATGCATCTCGTATGCCAATAATGTCTTTACTCCTGTCCAGTACCGGGTCACTCATTGTGACCGCATTGTCCGCCAGATCACGCTCGGTGCCTCACGGATCACCATGCCTTGGCACAACGATAATGGCGTTGCGTTTAATGCAGAGGTTCTCAACCTGTGGGTTGTGACTCAAGGTCGAACGAATGGGGTCGCCTCAGACCACCGAACAACATATTCACTGAAGTTTTGAAGTAGCAACGAAAAAAATTGCATGGCTGGGGGCCAAACAACACGAGGAACTGTTTTTAAGGGTCGCGGCATTAGGAAGGTTGAGAACTATTGATTTAATGAGACAAGTCATTCTTGTCTGATGAAACGGCCAGGATTTTCTTTAGCATTAGGTCTGGTTTGCTACTTTATGTTTGGTCTGGAACTTTAGGTCCAGTCTTATTGTCTGTTTTGTCTAATCATTCACACAATACAATGTTATGTTATCTCAATCGACGTCACTGCACATAAGGCATTGCGATGCGTGCTCTGTCCTCCGATGCAGCAGCCAATCCAAAGTACTTCTACTAAATGTTCCTATGAGAAGCTGGTTATATTGATACACAATACAATAAACTTTGTAGCACAGAAGGTTACATACGCTGGGACAATGAGGAGTAGATCAGTCCACAGTAATCGTGTCTGGGCGGAACTTTCTGGGGAGGAAAAACAATGCACAATATTTCAGGTGTGGAAGTCAGAGAACTAGGATATGAACTGGTAACATGAGTAAGATCTGCAGCAAGACCAGTGCTATGCTATACGGACTCACAAACGCGACTTGAAAGATATCAACATTGACAGCGACACATGGAAGAAATCAGCTCCAGGCCGTCTCCTTTGGAGGCAGACAGTGAAAGACAGAATGTTGCAGTCTGGAGAAAAAAAGTAGCAAGCTATGGAGAAGAAATGTCTGAGAGATAAACAGCCTCAGAATGATAGGATATCAAAGTTTTTATGTGGAATATATGGCAGAGTCTGGCATTCTCGCATTGGACTATAAAACGGATGTGCACTCACAATTAATTTCTGGAACAACAGCAAAGTTCAGAAGTGGACGAAAAACCAGGACTTTCTACCGGAGTTTACAGCCGTTACACGCTGAGATAAAGAAGGATGTGAAGATACAAGTCTGTGAGTCAGGGTGTGAAGATACAAGTCTGTGAGTCAGGGTGTGAAGATACAAGTCTGTGAGTCAGGGTGTGAAGATACAAGTCTGTGAGTCAGGGTGTGAAGATACAAGTCTGTGAGTCAGGATGTGAAGATACAAGTCTGTGAGTCAGGATGTGAAGATACAAGTTTGTGAGTCAGGGTGTGAAGATACAAGTCTGTGAGTCAGGGTGTGAAGATACAAGTTTGTGAGTCAGGGTGTGAAGATACAAGTTTGTGAGTCAGGATGTGAAGATGCAAGTTTGTGAGTCGGGATGTGAAGATACAAGTTTGTGAGTCAGGGTGTAAAGATACAAGTGTGAGTCAGGGTGTGAAGATACAAGTGTGAGTCAGGATGTGAAGATACAAGTTTGTGAGTCAGGGTGTGAAGATACAAGTGTGAGTCAGGGTGTGAAGATACAAGTCTATGAGTCAGGATGTGAAGATACAAATTAGAGCTTCAGTTTGTGAAGTCAACAGTCAGTAAGTCATTTGTAAAGACAAAAGTAAATGGGTCATTTGTGAAGATAGCAGTAAGTGGGTCATCTGCGAAGACAACAATAAGTGGGTAATTTATAAGGACAGCAATGAGTGGGTCATATGTGATGACAAAAATAAGTGGGTCATTTGTGAAGACAAGGATGAGTGGGTCATTTATGAGGACAACAATGAGTGGGTCATTTATGAGGACAACGATGAGTGGGTCATTTATGAAGACAACAATGAGTGGGTCATTTATGAGGACAACGATGAGTGGGTCATTTGTGAAGGCAACACTGTTTGGGTCATTTGTTAAGACAAAAATATGTGTGTTATTTGTAAAGACATCAATAAATGGGTCATTTGTGAAGACAGCAAGTGGGTCATTTTTGAAAACAACAATAAATAGGTCATTTGTAAAGACAACAATAAGTGGGTCATTTGTGAAAACAGCAATAAGTTGGTCATTTGTGCAGAAAACGACTTCCCCCCCCCCCCCACAAACCTCCAACCCCACCCCCTTTAACCCTCCCCCGCCCAGTGGCATGATTTTCTAACTGATTCACCTCTATACCTGTACCATTCATGTCCCGATTAATATCTATTGCCCATAGTGTTGCTGAAAAAAATATATGTAGGCTGCTGTACAGCTAAGGGAACTCACTCTCATGGCGGCATCAATCTGTGCATCGGTTCTCACTCTGGCTCGGTATGGGTACGTGGCCCGCGCCTTTGGGGGCAGTCGCTGGGGTTTCTCTGGTTTCTTCTCTGGGGGTACTTTGTGTATATACATAAACTCGTTAGTTCGTCGATAGGTCTAACTGTCAATGTCTGGTTGTTTGTCTCTCTGTGAGTCCTGAGCGTGTACATCAACAGGTTAGTTTATGGATAGGTCTAAATGTTAGTGTCTAGTTATGTGTGTCTCTCTATGGGTATTGTTTGTATATATAAACTTCATAGTTCATAGGTAAATCTACCGTCAGTGTCTGGTTGTGTGTCTCTCTCTATGGGTATTGTTTGTATATATAAACTTCATAGTTCATCTGTTAATCTACTGTCAGTGTCTGGTTGTGTGTGCCTCTCTATGGGTATTGTTTGTATATGTAAACTTGATAGTTCATCTGTTAATCTACTGTCAGTGTCTGGTTGTGTGTGTCTCTCTATGGGTATTGTTTGTATATGTAAACTTGACAGTTCATCTGTTAATCTACTGTTAGTGTCTGGTTGTGTGTGTCTCTCTATGGGTATTGTTTGTATATATAAACTTCATAGTTCATCGGTAAATCTACCGTCAGTGTCTGGTTGTGTGTGCCTCTCTTATGGTATTGTTTGTTTATATAAACTTCATAGTTCATCTGTTAATCTACCGTCAGTGTCTGGTTGTGTGTGCCTCTCTATGGGTATTGTTTGTATATATAAACTTGGTAGTTCATCGGGTTAATCTACTGTCAATGTATGGTTGTGTTTGTCTCTCTATGGGTACTTTGTTTTATATCTCAACTGGTTAGTTCGTTGGCAGGTCTAACTGTCAGTGTATGGTTGTGTGTGTCTCGCTATGGGTACGGTGTATGTATTTCAACTGGTTAGTTCGTTGGCAGGTCTAACCGTCAGTGTCTGGTTGTGTGTGTCTCTCTATGGGTACGGTGTGCGTATTTCAACTGGTTAGTTCGTTGGTAGGTCTAACCGTCAGTGTCTGGTTGTGTGTGTCTCGCTATGGGTACTTTGTTTGTATTTCAACTGGTTAGTTCGTTGGTAGGTCTAACTGTCAGTGTCTGGTTGTGTGTGTCTCTCTATGGGTACGGTGTATGTATTTCAACTGGTTAGTTAGTTGGCAGGTCTAACCGTCAGTGTCTGGTTGTGTGTGTCTCGCTATGGGTACTTTGTATTTCAACTGGTTAGTTCGTTGGTAGGTCTAACCGTCAGTGTCTGGTTGTGTGTGTCTCGCTATGGGTACTTTGTTTGTATTTCAACTGGTTAGTTCGTTGGTAGGTCTAACTGTCAGTGTCTGGTTGTGTGTGTCTCTCTATTGGTACGGTGTATGTATTTCAGCTGGTTAGTTCGTTGGCAGGTCTAACCGTCAGTGTATGGTTGTGTGTGTCTCTCTATGGGTACGGTGTGTGTATCTCAACTGGTTAGTTCGTTGGCAGGTCTGACTGCCAGTGTCTGGTTGTCAGTGTCTGGTTGTGTGTGTCTTTGTGCCCCCTTGGTACATTGTGTCATCCTCGTCACACAGCTGATCCTTTGCAGAACGTCACTGCTATTAAGCTCGTGTCTGCCCAAGAAAAGCTCGGTCTCTTGCGAGCTCCCCTGTCTCGTGTGCTGTTATACTCAAGGAGTCACTACTATCCTGTGCCCATTTTCATACTTGTCGGCCCTGCCCCTCCTTCCTCGTACGATGCTTTCTAATTCTATTTCTAATCCTCCATGGCGCTTGATATGACCACAATATTTCATTTTCAGAGGCCAGATGCTGTTTAACAGCCAATCTTCCCTCACGTTCAGATCTTTTAGGATGTCCTTGTTTCTTTTCTTCCGTGGCCACCGCATTTTGAAAATATTTGTGTGTGTGTGTGTGTTTAAGTTCATTGGTACGTCTTCTACTTTTGCGTTCGTTAGTGTTTGCTGCTGAAGATGAGGATGGAACACTTATGGAAATGTCCTGAGTGGTATGATGTCAGTTCTAAACTTATTCTAACTCGTTAGTTAGTCATCTATCTGTTTGTGCCTCAAAAATTTGATATGTGGGAAGAAGATCAGGCATGCATACGCTCACACACGCACTCGTGTATGTTTAAACATAAACATACATGCATGCACGTGTACATGTATATTTGAGAGCATAAGTAAAGTAAAGTAAAGGACCCTTTTCCATGCCTTTAGGCATATAGGGCTAGACCTAAATTTTTATAGACCAATTGGCACAAGATGGGGGATGTGGTCAGCATCACGCCGGCCGCCACTACTTCCCGGGACTGCACCTGGTACCTACTTAAGGTTGGGTCGACCTTGGAGATAAGGTCATTTTTGACAAAAGTCCAGCTCCGCCAGGGAGCGAACCCACGACCTTCTGATCCGCAGGCAAGCGTCTAGCCGCTCTGCCACGGCGACTCCCTATTTTTATTTTAGAGAATAAACAGAAGTTAAAAAATAAAACGATAAATAGAAGAGAACAAGACAGGAGAAAAATACAAAGTGTACTAGCAGGGCCGGATTTAGACATGATAAAGCAATAAGCTGTATAAAACCCCGAGGCCCTTATTGCTTTAAATTACACTCACTAATCTAAGAATATTTTAAAATATATAATCAGTTAGTTGCGTATTTTTTTAAAGGACGTTACAGAGTCAATCCCTACATTTTGTGGGCTGTTCTTCTAGTCAAATTGAATGTTCAGTAGTGTGTATTGCTCTGACAAGGTCTGCTCTCAGTACCACTGTCGAAACCAACGCTAGGCAAAACGTCTGCAGCTGGGATCAAACCCGGCACCCGGCATTACGAAGCGCGTTCGCAACCCCTAAGCCACAGACGCCGACTTTAATTATGTACGCCCTATAAATACACAGGTACACGGAAAATGAAAATTTACTGTCTTTAAATTTGTATTAAAATAAAATATTGTAGAATGTGTTTGCAAAAACAGAGAAATTATATAACCATCAAAAATTTGAAAGATGTTGAAAAAATATATTTAAAATAGATAAGAAAATTGTCTGTGTGAATAAAAAAAAGGAATGGTTTTTTATTATTATCCTACCCCAGATGACGTCACAAGACAGTCCAACATTTTAGAGGGTGGTAATACTGGGTTTCCCGGCTTTCTGGTGCCTTTAATGATCCCAAAACATCTAGAACTGGCCCTAACCTTAACCCACCTACGTCCTGCGAGAGAGTGCAGCTTAAGTCCCACGACTGCATGCAGCTTATCTGCCACCCCCTGAAATATTAGACTGTCCCTTGACCTGTCGATTTCCCCTGTTTGGGGTAGGGAATTAATAAAACACTAAAGAAATTTTTGTGAGGCCCCTGCCTGCAGCTTGTGAGGCCCCAAAGTATTTTATGTCTAAATCCAGCCACGTGTACAAAGAACGCTACATTTAATCTCTGCTCGCTTGTGCTCCTTCCTAAACGTCTGCTCCTCCATGAACTCTGAACCCAGAGCCGAGGCATCCATGACATCGGAGGCATCCTCCCTGTAGAAAATGGCTGGCGGCGGGGCCATCGGTGGAGGTCGGCCATCCATGTCCACGATATCTTCCATGTTCCGCGGCTCTGCATCCTCCCCCTCTCCGACGTACTGGACATCTGGGGACACATTAGAGAGTCTAATTAGAGGGGTTACAAACATGGTGTCACTGGTGGTTACAGCGTGATTTCTCGCAAGCTATACAGAGCCAGTTGTAACACCTTAGAGAGTCTAATTAGAGGGGTTACAAACATGGTGTCACTGGTGATTACAGCGTGATTTCTCGCAAGCTATACAGAGCCAGTTGTAACGTATGGCTGTGAATCCTGAACAATTAAAATCAAGCCAAATCATTTCTTGAGGTCTTGACAATATTTTTAAGTGGCGATGTTCCGAAGACAACTTATCATAAAGATCAGAACAAAGCAGTTGTCATATTTTGGCTATGTTACAAGAAAAAGGAAACTGGAACATCTGGTGTCCACTGGAAAAATCAGTGGATGAAAAGACAGAGAAAAAGGCAACACGAGGCGCTTCTTAAAAACCTTTTCTCATTGCAAGGAGAGGTGTCAACACATGGACTGATACGTGTGGTTAAAGATCGCAGATAGCGCCAGTCGGCAAGGCATTTGATGACGATGACTGGTCAGATAGTTTCGTACGAATCATTTTTACACAACACTTTCTGCCACAGTCCAGTACATTGTGTTAAGGAGTAGAGTGCATTGCTCAGTACACTTTGATATAAAGTCCAGTACACGGCTAGATATAGTCCAGTAAACTGTCATGGAGAGTCCAGTACACTGTCATAGTGAGTACAGTACTCTGCCATAGAGAGTCCAGTACTCTGTCATAGAGAGTCCAGTACACTGTCATAGTGAGTACAGTACTCTGTCAAAGAGAGTCCAGTACACTGTCATAGTGAGTACAGTACTCTGTCATAGAGAGTCCAGTACACTGTCATAGTGAGTACAGTACTCTGACATAGAGAGTCCAGTACTCTGTCATAGAGAGTCCAGTACACTGTCATAGTGAGTACAGTACTCTGTCATAGAGAGTCCAGTACACTGTCATAGTGAGTACAGTACTCTGTCATAGAGAGTCCAGTACACTGTCATAGTGAGTACAGTACTCTGTCATAGAGAGTCCAGTACACTGTCATAGAGAGTCCGGTACACTGTCATATATTCCAGTACACTGTCATAGTGAGTACAGTACACTGTCATAGAGAGTCCAGTACTCTGTCATAGAGAGTCCAGTACACTGTCATAGTGAGTACAGTACTTTGTCATAGAGAGTCCAGTACACTGTCATAGTGAGTACAGTACTCTGTCATAGAGAGTCCAGTACACTGTCATAGTGAGTACAGTACTCTGTCATAGAGAGTCCAGTACACTGTCATAGAGAGTCCGGTACACTGTCATAGATTCCAGTACACTGTCATAGAGAGTCCGGTAAACTGTCATAGATTCCAGTACACTGTCATAGTGAGTACAGTACTCTGTCATAGAGAATCCAGTACACTGTCAAAGGGAGTCCGGTGCATTGTCCTACCCTACCGAGTACACTTATACAGAGTCTAGTACGTTGTTATGTAGAGTCCAGTCTGAGATCTCAATCCACCACAGCCAGGACACATATCCAGCAATCGTTCCTCAGTGTCGGGACATTTCCAGAGGGGGCTGGTCAAGTTTCTAACTGTCCTGTTGCAGAGATGGATTTGATGGCTTCTTGTAGTCACCGAGTGAAGTCAAATACATGAACGTGTATTGGACTCACACATGATCTGAGCCTCCTGGAGAATTGGCTCATAAACAGCATTCTGTTCCGGAAGCTAAAGTATTTGGCTACGTTAAACGTCACTGTGACCCAGAAAGAACTGTAGCGGCTGGTACACTTTACGAAAAATAATACAGAGGCAGACCTCCGCGAACGTGGATACAAGATGCATTTTCTATGAAAGCACATAGGATTGGAGAATTGTGGAGAGCAAAGGAGACTTTCAGGCGTGCATTGACAAGAGCAACTTTAAGTAAGAGACCTTCTGACTGATGATTGTCTTTGTTGAATCATGTATTTGATCTTCCAGAAGAAGAATACGAAGAAGATATGCAGATTGTGTGCTGCACATGTGTCCCCAGTGTGGGAAAATAAGCGCTCAGACTTGTCTCCAGAGGGCGATTGTGGAAGAGAAGCTTTGGAAAACACAAGACACCCTCCTATGAATCAAAGGGCGGCTCCGCGTTATTGAAACTGTTTGACAAGTAAACTGATCGTTGCAGGAGGAGGGGGAGGAGAAGGAGGAGTAGAGGTGGAAGATGAGGAGAAGTAGACGATAACAACAACAGTACAAATAATATGATGCTGCTGCTGATTGTAAAGTCAAAAACTGAGAGGACACGAAAAGAATGAAAATGAGAAGCACAATAATAAAAAGAGGCAGAAGAGGAGGACGGGCAGAGGAGGAAGAGAGAGAGGAAAAAAGCAGAAAATAAAACAAACAAAAGTAACGAAGAAAAAGAAAAATAATAAGAAGAAGAAGAAGAAGAAGAAGAAGAAGAAGAAGAAGAAGAAGAAGAAGAAGAAGAAGAAGAAGAAGAAGAGAAGAAGAAAGAAAGAAAGAAAGAAAGAAAGAAAGAAAGAAAGAAAGAAAGAAAGAAAGAAAGAAAGAAAGAAAGAAAAGAAAGAAAGAAAGAAAGAAAGAAAGAAAGAAAGAAAGAAAGAAAGAAAGAAAAGAAAAAGAAAGAAAGAAAGAAAGAAAGAAAGAAAGAAAGAAAGAAAGAAAGAAAGAAAGAAAGAAAGAAAGAAAGAAAGAAAGAAAGAAAGAAAGAAAGAAAGAAAGAAAGAAAGAAAGAAAGAAAGAAAGAAAGAAAGAAAGAAAGAACAACAGCAACAACAGGTCCATGTGTCTCTTGATATTTACCTAGGGTCTCTGGAAAGGGCACATCATCATCTTGCTCCGGGCCCTGTAGGGCCGTGGGGAACTCGGTCACAGAGTCGTCGCCTGTGGCCGCTACAATTTCAGCCTGTCCATCGGCTGGTTCCTTTTCTTCACCCCCATGTGGATTCCTCCCTGCCACGTCTGGCGGATTCTCTGCTTCGTCTTCTGGTGCATTCTCTGCTGCATCTTCTTGGGGGTTTTCTGTTGCAGTTTCTTGTGGAGTTTCTATGGCGTGCTCTTCAACCTCTTCGGACTCCTCCATTCAGCGATATTTTGAAGATCTGGCATAGTCAGTTTGCGTGGTGTTATACATTGAATTAAAACTCATAATTCTTGAGCTATATTTCTAGTTGTCGAGATGTTTTTGAATGTTGAATTAAGAATCGACATCATGGCACTAGGAACACTCCAATAACCGCCCCGTTCCCATCATCATCAGCCAGCGAAGAATTCCAAATCCGATGGCACCAGTAACTAATTGTACATCCGTCTCGCCTTTCCCTTGAGTGTCGAGCGTCGGCCAGATCCCCTAGTAACTGCTCGCAGCGCCATTCATCTCACACCGTAATGATCTATTTGTGCCTCCGTACTGTTCACTCGCTCTCAAAGGGCCCTCACAACATCTAGTTTGTCCTATATCAATTCACCACCAGGTGGTGCAGAACCGGCAGTCTATCTGCCTGCTCATTTTCCAACACACCGGCATTACCTGGAGAAAATATTCAAAGGTTGCAAACTACCCGGGACCTCTGAAGTGATGCTTGCCACTCTGCACGGAGCTTGCTTGTCTCCGTCTTTCTCAACACGCTCTTTTGCTCTTTGAGTCAGTTACAATGATGGCATGTGTGTACAGCCGAATCTCAAGCCAGCAGAAGACAGCAGTGACTGCCTCCACCTCCATTCTTAAACTAGACGTTGTTATATATGTAAGGCTTTGTTGCACTAAGCGACGTCCATTCGCATTTTGCGAGATGTTTTGAAACATCACAATGTATAGATGTACATCAATGTGCCACGTTTGTCTGTAAATTGGTTACATCCCCTTTGCAGGACATTACAGAACAAACCCCATGTTTTTGCTATTTTTTTTTTTTTTTTCCCACTAGGCAAGTTTACGTTGAATACTTTGCTGTTGCTTTCTAAACGGTCAGATATGGATACCCCTGTCGAAACCAAAGCAACACGATCTGCCTCGAAATCAGCTGCAGCTGGGATCGAACCCGGCATTACGAAGCGCGTTTGCAACGCCTAAGCCACAGACTCTGACATTTCTCTGCAAGCATGTGTTAAAAGCAACCGCTTGCATCAGCTATCTCTCACTCCCTCCCCCCCCCCCCCTCCACACACACACACGCATGCACGCACGCACACACACACACCCACCCACACACACACACACACACACACACACACGCAAGAAGACGGAAATTTACTTATGCTGGCTTTGTGAGACTTCCTTTGTACAAGGAAGATTTTTTTTATTTGGACATGAAATGAGAAACAGATAAATTGATGAACCGATGACGCCTAAGAAAAACATTAGGGCGAACGTTAATGAGAGAAGCTAAAGATACTGTACAGTATTCCATCCATAATATGGAAGTGATTGCACTGCAAGTACCATGTGACATATACTGGCACCACAGGGCAATGAATAAACATGGGAAGACGGACACACAACAGACTGTACTGATACGATCGAAATTGGAACCTCTCGTTAGCTTCTCAACTAAAGACGGAGCACTTACGGGAATGTCCTTAGTGTTGTGATATGAATTCTGAACTCAGGTGAAATCAGCTGAAACTCTCACGCACACGTGCATACATCCCACTCACGGAGACCTACGTGGAATGACTCTGCAGTGAATGTGTCTCTTGAGTGTTTCACCCTTTCTCGTTTAGGTGTCCGAATCTGAGTCACTGTGTGAATTTTGACATCGGCACCATTTCCGGTTCCGTTTGTATGTTCAAGCATGATGCTCATCGGTTCGCAACGTGAGATATACATCATTATTATCACCATTATCAGAATTATTATCATCATCATCATCAGGATCATCATCATCATCATCAGTCGTCCTAAAGATAGGATCTACGTCTTCCTGTCATTTCAGCTTGGGGTACGTGATGACCATACTGACCCTGGGGTACAACAAGCCTATCACCATTATACTATGACCAGTGAAGCAGGATATATGACCGATGAAGCAGGAAGTATGACCAGTGAAGCAGGAAGTATGACCAGTGAAGCAGGAAGTATGACCAGTGAAGCAGGAAATATGACGAGTAAAGCAGGAATTATGACCAGTGAAGCAGAATATATGACCAGTGAAGCAGGATATATGACCAGTGAAGCAGGAAGTATGACCGGTGAAGCAGGAAGTATGACCATTGAAGCAGGATAAGTATGACCGGTGAAGCAGGAAGTATGACCAGTGAAGCAAGAAGAATGACCAGTGAAGCAGGATATATGACCAGTGAAGCAGGAAGTATGACCAGTGAAGCAGGAAGAATGACGAGTAAAGCAGGAAGTATGACCAGTGAAGCAGGATATATGACCAGTGAAGCAGGAAGTATGACCGGTGAAGCAGAAAGTATGACCATTGAAGCAGGAAGTATGACCAGTGAGGCAGGAAGTATGACCAGTGAAGCAGGAAGTATGACCAGTGAAGCAAGAAGTATGACCAGTGAAGCAGGAAGTATGACCAGTGAAGCAGGATATATGACCAGTGAAGCAGGATATATGACCGGTGAAGCAGGAAGTATGACCAGTGAAGCAGGATATATGACCGGTGAAGCAGGAAGTATGACCAGTGAAGCAGGATATATGACCAGTGAAGCAGGAAGTATGACCGGTGAAGCCGGAAGTATGACCGGTGAAGCAGGAAGTATGACCGGTGAAGCAGGAAGTATGACCAGTGAAGCAGGAAGTATGACCGGTGAAGCAGGAAGTATGACCGGTGAAGCAGGAAGTATGATCGGTGAAGCAGGAAGTATGACCGGTGAAGCAGGAAGTATGACCAGTGAAGCAGGAAGTATGACCAGTGAAGCAGGAAGTATGACCGGTGAAGCAGGACGTATGACCGGTGAAGCAGGAAGTATGACCAGTGAAGCAGGAAATATGACCAGTGAAGCAGGATATATGACCAGTGAAGCAGGATATATGACCGGTGAAGCAGGAAGTATGACCAGTGAAGCAGGATCTATGACCGGTGAAGCAGGAAGTATGACCAGTGAAGCAGGATATATGACCAGTGAAGCAGGAAGTATGACCGGTGAAGCAGGAAGTATGACCGGTGAAGCCGGAAGTATGACCGGTGAAGCAGGAAGTATGATCGGTGAAGCAGGAAGTATGACCGGTGAAGCAGGAAGTATGACCAGTGAAGCAGGAAGTATGACCAGTGAAGCAGGAAGTATGACGGGTGAAGCAGGAAGTATGACCGGTGAAGCAGGAAGTATGACCAGTGAAGCAGGAAATATGACCGGTGAAGCAGGAAGTATGACCAGTGAAGCAGGAAATATGACCGGTGAAGCAGGAAGTATGACCAGTGAAGCAGGAAGTATGACCAGTGAAGCAGGAAATATGACCGGTGAAGCAGGATATATGAACGGTGAAGCAGGAAGTATGACTGATGAAGCAGGAAGGAAACACTTTCACAATCACCTAATCACCTGGACTGTTGTGATAGTCGTATTTCTGGACTGGCTGTAGCCTTGAGATCATGCTTTAATGTTGGATCTGGTTGTGGTTTCATCTTCAAACCTGTGTGTGGGACGTGAGATTAGTTCGCGCCAACCTTGTCTATTGTACGTGGATCAGGTATGTACACCTGGGATTTCAGGTTTTTATCTGTAGCACTGTAACCTTTTCGAGACGTCACAGAAGACGTGTGTGTCCATAATCTTGGTAAACTTGGGAATCTTAGTTTCAGCTTCATAGCAAACGGGTCACCTAATAGTTGCTCCGCTCCTATGCCAACAGAAAACACACAGAATGTTCATCACAGTCTCATGTGGAAAGATTGACGGACTGCTGTCTCAGCATATGTACACACGCATTAAAAGTATACGGTAGTTAACAGAAGTGCTAACACAAACATTCTGACATTAGAAATGCAGTTTATCATCGACAGCAAAATTACCAACAGATCAACAGTTGCACACGCAATCAATTTTAATCACATAAGTTGCACACGCGATCAATTTTAATCACATAAGGGCACCACCAATATTGCGTCGATAGACCACGCGTCATTGTTTGAATCGTTTTCCATAATCTATCAGCAGCAACCAGGTCACGTCTGGAGAAACAGCTTTTTCCAAGTATGTCGATAACTGGATATTGACAACGCGGCTTTGAATCCACCATCCATATTATAGGCTGTTCCAAAAGTTGGGCCAACTTTAAAAATATGTAACTCAGTAACCCTTCAGATAAAATTTAAAAACAAATTGGCAAACAACCTGTTACAAATCATGTCTTTGTAGAAAAATAATTATAATAAAAACAAACACCTAGCACATATTTTGCCTTATTTGTAGTATATGAAACAACAGACACCGATTCAAAGCAAACAATTAGGATGTTTACAGTAAATGGATTGATGCAAACGTGTCTAAACATCAAATAACTCGCTTTTTGGAGGTAATCTGTGCCAAACACCAAGGTGCACTTATTTTTATAGTGAAGTGGCTACGTTATGTACTGCCATAATGCTTGTTAACTGGTTTCTAAAAATTACACGTCTTGTGTCAAATACTGAATATTCTTATTTTATAAGGGGTGCACAGATTTTTAGTCCGACAAGAAAAAAAAAAAAAAAAAATTCCAGCACATGTGCAGGTGTAAAATATTAAATCACAAGGACATGGAAAATCCAAGACCACATGCAAACATTCGTCTTGATCCGTACAGGAGATTAAGAGATATTTGTTACAATTTGGGCGCACGATTTTTGGAACGGACTATAGTCTGCACATCTGGCTATATAAAGGTGGCCTGCTTGTTCTGGAACATACTGCTGTCCTCTGGATGACTCTAGGTCTTTAGGACACACTAAGATTTCCGTCACAGGTTCAGGAACCATGCGGTGCAGTGCTGTAAGTGCTTCCTTACGTTGGTCTCTGTCGGTGACAGTTTGGTCTGTAGGCGTGAAAAGGAATTTCTCACGATCTCTAGCTCAGCGGTTCTCAACCTATGGATCAAACGACCCTTTCAAAAGACTAGCCAAAGACTATCGCAAAACACATATATTCATTGAA